GAGATGTACTTAAATCTATGTAGTGACTGTGTGCAGGTAAATTTTCACCTGAAATCGTTTTACTTCCACCTGTTTCCTTTGAAGAGTTTGCACAATACAAAAACCTGTCGACTATTTGTTCCCATGCACCAACACCAAACATTACTTGAGGACCTCTTGCTTCCATAGATGTATAAATAGAACCTACTGGGTTCATTAAATCAAACATATGAGATATTATAGGATTGTCTCTTTGAACTTAAAATATAGTGCAATTATTTCAGGTTTCTTCTGGTTTGTGTCAGAATATTTTTTATAATATAATCTTATGTTTTCAGGGTAGGTAAAATCTTGACTATAATATTTATTTCTGTCATCTGTATAATAATATACTATTCTCGTTTTTTCTATTGCATTATATCTTTTATATCTATAATAATCTAAATATAATGTTAGCTTTTGTTCATCTACATGTGGTGTTCTGTCGTCATCTCCATAGTCATAATAATGTGGTGCTGGAGCTGGGTCAGGCAATGTCATATCTGCCATTTCATAAAACTCTTAAATATTTCTTTTGTTCGTCTCCATATAAGTTTAAGTAGCAGTTGTTGTCTAATGGAACTTTAACTTGTGTACCATCATTCTTTTTATAGCTTACATACATTTCATTGTTATTTTTCGGAATGAGTTTATTCCGTGTACCATTTTTTAAGGACTGTACCAACTGCCATCTAAAATATTTATTTTCTTCATTGACAGAAAAGTCACCAACAATAGTTTCAATATTTTTTGTTCCTATCAAACTTTGGTATATTTCATTGACATATGTTTTATCTGCTTTATTTTCAAGGCTAACGTTTAAGTCTGTTATTTCAGAAGATGTATGTGTATGCCCAACGGCACTTTTCCTGTTTAAGGTTTCTTGTAAGTTTGTAATATTTGCAATGGTATGTGTATGTCCAACGTCACTTTTCCTGTTTAAGGTTTCTTGTAAGTTTGTAATATTTGCAATGGTATGTGTATGTGTCTTATCTGCTTTTGTCTCTAATGTTTCCTTAAGACTTGGTATTTGGTTAATATAATGTATATGAGTCTTTTTAGAATATTCGTTTTCAGCTCTTGTCACTTCACTTGACATTTTATTGTCAACATATGTTTTGTCTGCTAGTTGATCAGGATGAGTATGTTCTTTTGTTGCATAAGCATTGTTAGCTCTTTCTTCTTCTTTTGCTATTGCATCGTCTACATATTCTTTGTCAGCTTTGTTGTCAACATCTGCTTTCAAAAGAAGTTCATTTATAGGTTTCTCGTTTAAAGTTCCTTTTGTTGGATTTATACAGACAGTATTGTTCTTATTGTCTTGAAATAGAAACTCATCTGTTATAGGGTTTAATGTCAGTTTTAAGTTTCCATCCTTTAAAGTTTCAGATATCTTAGAATAGTTTGAAAAGTTTGTTGTGTTCTTATTTAGAGCTTGCATAATGAGTTGTCGGTTGTGTTGTATTTCTCTCATAGACGCTGTTTCATTTGACATTTTTTATTAGATAAAATATGCTTCCAATAGAAAAAGAAAATTCTAGAGTTGCCTACAACTAAACCATTAGATGAACTTTTTACTAATGTCGGTCAAAAGTTTGAGACAGATACCGTAAAGCATGAAGGCTATCGTTTTGACTACCATTAAGATGGCTAAGAGACCCATCCGTCACAAAAGCTATTGGCTTTCGTAGAATGAAGTCATTTCAGAAGCCATACATGGTTTCCCATTTACGGTCGGTTTTGAAGTTCGATACTATAACAAAAAAAACGTATGTATGAGAAATTTGAACAGGGAAAACTTTTACAAGTTATTAGTTTGCTTGTAAATTAGAAACAACCTTCAAGCTTTTCAAGAAAAATAAAACGATATCTATATCGAATATGCAAACCAGTAGTATAACATTGACGAAGGAGAATACCATTCGATATTATTTATGACAGGAAAAATGCAACTGTTAAAATCAATAAAATAGAAGACCTTGGAGAAAACGTTTATATTTCTACAAAATATAACACTTGGCATGGTATAGATTTATGAGGATGTTAAATCAGCCTGCAGCATATCCAGTACACCCGGACTATTATGAAGTCGAAAACCCTAATGGAACATATGAAAATATTTTCGACCCAGCTGCTATTATTGTTCATGCTTCATTTTCTGGCGCCCAAAATCTTTTTTATGCTTGGCAAATGACTTTTACGAAAAACCTACAAAGTTATACGAACCACCAAGTGGAAGTATTTCAGACTTTCAAGTATGGTTTACTACAGATGGAAGAAAAAGAATAATTCCATTATACCATGCGTTTTACTTAGAACTTAGTTTCATATATAACTACTATCGAACGGTAAAAATATAATTTTTTAATACGGTTGAGGTATTGGATTTGGTTGCCAACTAGACTGTGGTGCAGGTTCAGGCTGTTGTATAACAGGAGCTTGTTCTTTCTGGTTCAGGGTCTTTAGGTATAATACCAACAAACTGACCTACTCTTTTACCAATATTTTTGACTCCGTTCCAAATTCCTTTTCCTACGGTTTTGACGCCATTCCATATACCTCTTCCAACATTTCGAAAGAAGTTTCCTATCTTACTGAAGAAACCCATTTTACTACGTGTAAAAATCTAATGTCCGCCTAGTCTTTTGCGTTTCCTGTTGAGTTCCATAGCATTCTTTAACTGGAGCTCATACATTCTGTTTCTCCTCTGGTAGAAAACATATTCTGGGTCAACTCCTGTGTTCGCGTCATCTGCATAAAGTTGTTTATATCCCACTTCAGGGTTTGTATAAAACTCTTTCCATCTCATATTTGCATACCATGGTGGCAAAACCTAACGCAGCGTCATTTGACATGGCAGTTTGCATTTGTACATCTGTTGGCACATTGACCATAGTTTGCCATTGCAGTTTGTATTCTAACTTCATTTGGAATATTCTCTGGGTTTGGTTGTCCAGGTTGCTGTGCATTCGCTAAGTTCTGTGCGTCCATTTAATATCAGATAAAAAATATCTCTTATGAGTACATATGCTGAACATTTGCAGGCATTGGTTCATCTTCATATTCTCTGTACTTTTCTGCCACGTCAAATAAATAAATGACACAATGGAAAAAACCTAAAACAAGTAGTCCTATTTCAAACCACATTTACTTACTAATAAAATTTCTTTATTGTGACCTTTCTCCAGTTTATAGGACCTCTCTCATATTCTATCTTGTCATATCTAAACTCATAGTCGTTTATATCTTCTAGCCATTTTCATGACACTTTCTAAACCACTTTTATCGGATGTAAAGTAAAAGCATGGATGGTTATGTATAACGTCTAAAGTTTCTAAAGAGTCTCTCAAAGTCCAGTCTTACTTGGTATTGAAAAATCCCATGTTTATAGAACGCGGGTCCAATAAAGAAAACATTTTCCTTGTCTTTATATTTTTCATACAACTCTGTCCAACGACATCTCACAAACTCTATACCCTCAATATATTTTTCTATGTTCTCTTTGAAAACATTTGTATAGTTAAGATATAAAACTTTTGACATAAGTGTTTCAATGTCATGAACTCTTATAGCACCACTATATAATAGTCTAGCAGATATACTATCCCAGTCTATATATTCTGCTTTTTTCAAAACCTCTCTCACAATATTTTTGTTATCTAATGGTATACGTTCCATCTTACCTATAGGTATCTTTTCTTTTAACTCTTTCAATATATTGTTTGTGTCTGGAATATGTTTGAGACGGTCCATATAGTTGTCGAAGTCATTGCATATAATCTTTGAGTCTGGGAATATTGTATGGCACAAATGGGATATATAGAAACTTCCACCGAACAAATCTACAAATGTTAGACCATTCGGTAGTTTCTTAAGTTCTCTCAATATAATATCTTTACATCTACTCTTATTTCCAAAGAACGGTAACGGCGGTTTTGTAAAATTCATTTATATATAATAATAAAAATGTTTTTACCCGAAAAGTGACAGAAAAGTTACAAAACATGAAAACATATATAATTTGTGAAAAGCGACACATTATATAATGTTTTCGACCCAGAAGAAGGCTTCTTCCCAGAAGCAATGGAGGAAGAAGAAGAGTCCTCCGAATTCACACCAGAAGACTAACAATTTTCCGAATAAAAACTTCATTTATACTAAACATCTTCGGGGCTAGAGGGCGCAACGCGCCTGGAAGCCCCACTCACCTGACCTATATGAAATTATGCATAGGATATTAAAATTTACATGTTAGCAATTTTTTTGAATTGCTTTCAATTTTCATATTGAAATTTTTAAGATTTTTTTCTGAAATAATAAGCAAGAATATCAACCTAAATAATATTAAATTCCATGCGTTAATTTCCCCTCAAAAGTCATTGACCGCCTCTCAATCTAGATTTTGTGAGTACTTTAGGTTTAGTATGATGTGGCTGCAATTTCTTTTCATTGACGAATTTCCCCTTTTCAAGTTCAAAGTATAATTCCTCATCACTTCGAACAATTGAGATGAACTTTGCAGCAATGTGGCATGTCGGCCTTCCTCTCTTCATTAGAAAGTGACATGAAAAGGAAAAATTTTTCGGATTGTTAAAAAAAGTCAGTAAAATATTTTTATCAATTGAGATTAAATACATTAATTAGAGTGAAGGACTAAAATTTGAGTGGAAAAAATCCATCACAAAATTACGATATCGACATTAGAATTTCAAAGTGGTATGGAACTGGTCAAACTTTGTTTCAAATTAAACAATTCTGAAACATTTTCTGCCACATTTTGAAATGAAAATCATAGAGTAATTTTTTTTGGGTTTGGAATTTTTGAATTCAAAAGATTAATGATAATTACTCTTCATATCTCAATGCAAATGAATTTCATGCGAACATAGAGTAATTTTTATGCAAATGTGTCTTGCGACAGTACATACACTAAAAAAACAAACATTTACTAATAAAAACAAGTACTGATTTGCTCTAATAAACTAATTACTTGATGAGTCAGCATCGTAATTGATTTTCTTTCTATAAACTTTTTGATTCTTTTGTATAGCAGCTGCTTTCTCTAATTTATCCTCAGAAGCTTTACTTTGCTTTTCAGCAGAACTTGAAGAAGTCCTGCTTAATCTTCTTCTTTTTGACGAAACAATTGAGGTTTTGGCAGAATTATATGTTGGAGATTGCAAAGGAATTGAAAATGGTGTATCGGGCTCGTAATACGATACTTCAATGCACGGACAGTCATAAATATCAGAGTAATCCATCTTATTTACTTCTGTCGGGCATGTAGACATCTCTGGTCGCTCCCCCTTATTTTGAAATGGAAGTGGTAAGTTCAATAAAGATGATGCTCCATTATGAATTCTGAAATCAGAGAAATGAGTATGAATAAAGTTCTTAAAATCTTGTGTTACATCAAGTAGTGATGGTTGAATATCTTGATTAATTTTAATAGGGAGGAATGGCTCTGTTATTTTATTCTCGCAGCGATTGAACAAAATTGACTGCAATAAAGTCATTTGAATCTTGCTGTAGCGTTCTATAATTGCTCTTTTTTCATTGTTATCAGAGGAAATTACAGCAAAATGTCTTGCATCTTTAATCGGGAAAGTCATGTCAATGATCGAATGATTTGCAACAGCAGCATTAACCAAATTAGATATTTGATCTAATGAATCCGGTTGGCTACCGTCGACTCTAACTTTTTTAAGAGTTTTCGTGTGTTTAATCGAGTGGCAGAGAAAAGCATAAGTTTCAGCTCCTATGTTGTTGTTAGAGATGTCAATGCATTCTATCGCTGACTTTGGAAGAGCTTTTATGAAAGGAAGAAGCTCATTTCTTATTTCATGGTTTAAATCTCCTCGAATTGATATTGACTTCAAACCAGGTATTTCTAAAAGTTTAACAAGAGATGTTTTCAAACCAATATCTTCAAAAGTGAAATTGTTGTTTAGTGAAATTTCTTCTAATCCAACAATGTTCATTAAGAAAGGAGACATGTTTTCGATATCTTCTGGGGTAAGTTTATTTAAGTCAAAATGGAGAGATTTCCATTTCAAATCAGGTGCAGACATCATAATTGATAGTAAATTAACTAATTTCTTTCCATTAAGATGCAAACCATTCAAAATAAGTGAAAATCTTTCTAAATTTGCATTATCTTGAATTGCTGAAACAAGTTCTTTCAGTTTTTCAAATGGATAATCAGTCAAGGAAATATCAAGAAGAAGCAATGCATTTGAATGCTTAGCAAATTCAATAATGGAATCAACACATTCAGGTGGCATCTGAAAGTTAGAAATATAAAGCTCTTGTAAATTTATTTTTGATTCAATAAAAAAATTCATGATTTTGGTTCTTTCTGTATAATTTCCTCCAATATCTAATGAAACAAGTTGTTTGTTAAAATCCAAACATTGTAAAAATGAGGATATTGTTTTAGAATCAAAAATGGCATCACTAATCCTTAATACCTTAATGTAATGGAGATTATTATTAGAATTCATTGTATCAAATATATTTTGCAGTTTATGTTTTGTAATTTGGCAGTTTGATAAACCAATATGAAGTACTGGCGAATTCTGCTTCTCCAAAATAGGAGCGATATATTCAATATCTTTTATTGCATTATTACTGAAGTCTAGATACCAGAATTGAAGCTCACTATCTTCATTCTCAGAAATAGTATCAGATAGTTCTTTAATTCCCGATGAAATTGAGCAATTCTCTAAGTGAATGAATTTAAATGGGCTCCCTTTTGAAACTGAATCTTTCAAAGCTTTGACAATATCAGGGCAATTCTGATCAATGCAGCAAATGCCAGCTCCATAGTGGGTGAACCTTAAAGTTGTGAAAATAAATTCGAATCCATTCCCATCTAAATTGGAAATTAAATCAAGAGGCAATTCTGATAAATTGTATACGTTAAAGCCGGCTAATATCATTGAATGAACGTAGCGAACAACTTCATGCCTATATCCAACCTTTTTAGCTGTAACATATCCAGCATACATGAATTGGAATAATTGAGTTGGAGAAAGAAGCAAATTTAATGTGGGGAAAAGGGTATAATCATCAGATCTAAGATCAAAAACATCTTCAATATTAAGCTTTTGATATGAAACCATGAAATTTCGATAAACATATTGTGCAAACTTAAGGCATCCAAGTCCTGTTAATGTAACTTTTTCTTCGGTAGTTTTTATAACTACAAACATAGGAGAAGTAGAGTACCACATCATTATTATTTTTGAAATATGAAATACACTATGCTTAATTAATTGTTTTTTATTTCCATGCGAAAATAATGCTATGTAATGCGGTGATAAAACGCAAATATCACCTCGCCTTGTTTGCTTATCTATCCTTGAATCTGTTCGAAATGCATAATGAATGGGATTGTCAATATCTTTGAATGACGAAAGGATATCTTCCTTTTCATTTTGAGAAAATGGTCCTGGAACTCCATTTTCAGCAATAATTTGGAATCCACCGAGCATCTTGAAAATGAAAAATTTAAAAAAATAATTATTAATGTAATAACAATGAATTATGGCATGCACATGATCTAAGAATGGGTTTAATTTTGGCTATTTCCAATAAACTGAGAAACAATTGAAAAATTAGTGCTTTTTTAATGCGATTCATTTCGATAAAATAAATATAATGATAATTTATGCCGAATTAATCAAGTAAAATTAGTATCTATTATAAAATTAAAATCAATGATTTTGTAGTAATCTTTTTGCAAAAGATAATTCAAATGGTTAATTATATTAAAAGTAGGTCAGGTAGGTGGGGCTTCCAGGCGCGTTGCGCCCTCTAGCCCATAAGAAATTTTGCCCAAGACCCAAGAGGAGGACCGAACCCCAGCCGAGCAGCCGGTGACAAAACCAAAACCGTTGTTATTTACATCATATTAATGGTGTCACTTTTTAAATATCACTTTTTGTGTCACTTTTCACAAATTATATATGTTTTCATGTTTTGTAACTTTTCTGTCACTTTTCGGGTAAAAACATTTTTATTATTATATATAAATGAATTTTACAAAACCGCCGTTACCGTTCTTTGGAAATAAGAGTAGATGTAAAGATATTATATTGAGAGAACTTAAGAAACTACCGAATGGTCTAACATTTGTAGATTTGTTCGGTGGAAGTTTCTATATATCCCATTTGTGCCATACAATATTCCCAGACTCAAAGATTATATGCAATGACTTCGACAACTATATGGACCGTCTCAAACATATTCCAGACACAAACAATATATTGAAAGAGTTAAAAGAAAAGATACCTATAGGTAAGATGGAACGTATACCATTAGATAACAAAAATATTGTGAGAGAGGTTTTGAAAAAAGCAGAATATATAGACTGGGATAGTATATCTGCTAGACTATTATATAGTGGTGCTATAAGAGTTCATGACATTGAAACACTTATGTCAAAAGTTTTATATCTTAACTATACAAATGTTTTCAAAGAGAACATAGAAAAATATATTGAGGGTATAGAGTTTGTGAGATGTCGTTGGACAGAGTTGTATGAAAAATATAAAGACAAGGAAAATGTTTTCTTTATAGTGGACCCGCCGTTCTATAACACATGGGATTTTCAATACCAAGTAGACTGGACTTTGAGAGACTCTTTAGAAACTTTAGACGTTATACATAACCATCCATGCTTTTACTTTACATCCGATAAAAGTGGTTTAGAAAGTGTCATGAAATGGCTAGAAGATATAAACGACTATGAGTTTAGATATGACAAGATAGAATATGAGAGAGGTCCTATAAACTGGAGAAAGTGTCACAATAAAGAAATTTTATTAGTAAGTAAATGTGGTTTGAAATAGGACTACTTGTTTTAGGTTTTTTCCATTGTGTCATTTATTTATTTGACGTGGCAGAAAAGTACAGAGAATATGAAGATGAACCAATGCCTGCAAATGTTCAGCATATGTACTCATAAGAGATATTTTTATCTGATATTAAATGGACGCACAGAACTTAGCGAATGCACAGCAACCTGGACAACCAAACCCAGAGAATATTCCAAATGAAGTTAGAATACAAACTGCAATGGCAAACTATGGTCAAGTGCCAACAGATGTACAAATGCAAACTGCCATGTCAAATGACGCTGCGTTAGGTTTGCCACCATGGTATGCAAATATGAGATGGAAAGAGTTTTATACAAACCCTGAAGTGGGATATAAACAACTTTATGCAGATGACGCGAACACAGGAGTTGACCCAGAATATGTTTTCTACCAGAGGAGAAACAGAATGTATGAGCTCCAGTTAAAGAATGCTATGGAACTCAACAGGAAACGCAAAAGACTAGGCGGACATTAGATTTTTACACGTAGTAAAATGGGTTTCTTCAGTAAGATAGGAAACTTCTTTCGAAATGTTGGAAGAGGTATATGGAATGGCGTCAAAACCGTAGGAAAAGGAATTTGGAACGGAGTCAAAAATATTGGTAAAAGAGTAGGTCAGTTTGTTGGTATTATACCTAAAGACCCTGAACCAGAAGAACAAGCTCCTGTTATACAACAGCCTGAACCTGCACCACAGTCTAGTTGGCAACCAAATCCAATACCTCAACCGTATTAAAAAATTATATTTTTACCGTTCGATAGTAGTTATATATGAAACTAAGTTCTAAGTAAAACGCATGGTATAATGGAATTATTCTTTTTCTTCCATCTGTAGTAAACCATACTTGAAAGTCTGAAATACTTCCACTTGGTGGTTCGTATAACTTTGTAGGTTTTTCGTAAAAGTCATTTGCCAAGCATAAAAAAGAGTTTTGGGCGCCAGAAAATGAAGCATGAACAATAATAGCAGCTGGGTCGAAAATATTTTCATATGTTCCATTAGGGTTTTCGACTTCATAATAGTCCGGGTGTACTGGATATGCTGCAGGCTGATTTAACATCCTCATAAATCTATACCATGCCAAGTTGTTATATTTTGTAGAAATATAAACGTTTTCTCCAAGGTCTTCTATTTTATTGATTTTAACAGTTGCATTTTTCCTGTCATAAATAATATCGAGATGGTATTCTCCTTCGTCAATGTTATACTGGTTTGCATATTCGATATAGATATCGTTTATTTTTTCTTGAAAAGCTTGAAGAGTTGTTTCTAAATTTACAAGCAAACTAACTTGTAAAAGTTTTCCCTGTTCAAATTTCTCATACATACGTTTTTCTTTGTTATAGTATCGAACTTCAAAACCGACCGTAAATGGGAAACCATGTATGGCTTCTGAAATGAACTTCATTCTACGAAAGCCAATAGCTTTTGTGACAGATGGGTCTCTTAACCATCTTAATGGGTAGTCAAAACGATAGCCTTCATGCTTTACGGTCTCTGTCTCAAACTTTTGACCGACATTAGTAAAAAGTTCATCTAATGGTTTAGTTGTAGCAACTCTAGAATTTTCTTTTTCTATTGGAAGCATATTTTATCTATAATAAAAATGTCAAATGAAACAGCGTCTATGAGAGAAATACAACACAACCGACAACTCATTATGCAAGCTCTAAATAAGAACACAACAAACTTTTCAAACTATTCTAAGATATCTGAAACTTTAAAGGATGGAAACTTAAAACTGACATTAAACCCTATAACAGATGAGTTTCTATTTCAAGACAATAAAACAATACTGTCTGTATAAATCCAACAAAAGGAACTTTAAACGAGAAACCTATAAATGAACTTCTTTTGAAAGCAGATGTTGACAACAAAGCTGACAAAGAATATGTAGACGATGCAATAGCAAAAGAAGAAGAAAGAGCTAACAATGCTTATGCAACAAAAGAACATACTCATCCTGAACTAGCAGACAAAACATATGTTGACAATAAAATGTCAAGTGAAGTGACAAGAGCTGAAAACGAATATTCTAAAAAGACTCATATACATTATATTAACCAAATACCAAGTCTTAAGGAAACATTAGAGACAAAAGCAGATAAGACACATACACATACCATTGCAAATATTACAAACTTACAAGAAACCTTAAACAGGAAAAGTGACGTTGGACATACACATACCATTGCAAATATTACAAACTTACAAGAAACCTTAAACAGGAAAAGTGACGTTGGACATACACATACCATTGCAAATATTACAAACTTACAAGAAACCTTAAACAGGAAAAGTGCCGTTGGGCATACACATACATCTTCTGAAATAACAGACTTAAACGTTAGCCTTGAAAATAAAGCAGATAAAACATATGTCAATGAAATATACCAAAGTTTGATAGGAACAAAAAATATTGAAACTATTGTTGGTGACTTTTCTGTCAATGAAGAAAATAAATATTTTAGATGGCAGTTGGTACAGTCCTTAAAAAATGGTACACGGAATAAACTCATTCCGAAAAATAACAATGAAATGTATGTAAGCTATAAAAAGAATGATGGTACACAAGTTAAAGTTCCATTAGACAACAACTGCTACTTAAACTTATATGGAGACGAACAAAAGAAATATTTAAGAGTTTATGAAATGGCAGATATGACATTGCCTGACCCAGCTCCAGCACCACATTATTATGACTATGGAGATGACGACAGAACACCACATGTAGATGAACAAAAGCTAACATTATATTTAGATTATTATAGATATAAAAGATATAATGCAATAGAAAAAACGAGAATAGTATATTATTATACAGATGACAGAAATAAATATTATAGTCAAGATTTTACCTACCCTGAAAACATAAGATTATATTATAAAAAATATTCTGACACAAACCAGAAGAAACCTGAAATAATTGCACTATATTTTAAGTTCAAAAGAGACAATCCTATAATATCTCATATGTTTGATTTAATGAACCCAGTAGGTTCTATTTATACATCTATGGAAGCAAGAGGTCCTCAAGTAATGTTTGGTGTTGGTGCATGGGAACAAATAGTCGACAGGTTTTTGTATTGTGCAAACTCTTCAAAGGAAACAGGTGGAAGTAAAACGATTTCAGGTGAAAATTTACCTGCACACAGTCACTACATAGATTTAAGTACATCTCAAGCAGGTTGGCATAAGCATAGATATTGGGATTGGTCAGGAATGACAAAAGGTAAAGGATATGATGTTAAAGACGAGGTTAAGTTTGCTATAAATTGTTACTGGAGTGACACTCAGGGAGAAGGAAACCATACACATTTCGTTTCAGGATATACGCAAACAACGGGACAAAGTAAAGAATACATGCCACCTTACATGACAGTTTACGCATGGTATAGAATTGCTTAGTCGTCATTTTCAACTTCTTTAGCATATTCGTCAGGAGTTGTCTTATATTTGTTAGGAATTGTCTTTGAAAGTATACCACCTTGAACTTTGACAAGTTTGAAACGAGGTCTGGCAATAGTAGTTTTATCTTCTGCTTGCAGTGTGTACATTTTGCCATGTTTGCCTAAAACTTCATAATATTCTCTTGTATACTTTCTTCTATTTTTACGAACACGAATGTGAGTACCTGTCGAGTTCCCATTGAAGGTTTTGCTTGTGAAGGTGTTGGAGTTTGTTTAACTTCAGCTACTTCAGTATTATTTACAACATTTGCTTTATTTCTTTTCAACATCATAACTGCTCCTGCTGTAGCTAGCAAACCTAGTGGGAGACCATATCTTATATAAGGACTTGACCAAATGCTATTTTTGACAGGAGCTGGTGGAACACCTAACCTTGGTGAGACTGCTCTTTGCCATTGTGCAGCTCGTAAGAAATATTCAATAGGTGCTCCATAATCGTTTGGTAAAGTTTGTTTCATAGATGGTGAAGGTTCGCGAGAGCTTGATGAAGAACTCATTTATAAGCTTTAAAAATAAACGTTCATCCTTTATTCCTCACTGTCGTCCGTAGCTAAGTTATAGTCATCTAATCTTATTATGGGGATGCCATTAGCACGCACCTGAATGGCAAAGCAACAATCCCTCATAAATCCAATAAGTGGCTTTGGTACATTTTCAGTTGCTAGTTCAATAGGTCCTTTAACAGACAATTTGTATGTTATTGGAGCAGTAGATGTTTGACCTTGCTGGAAGCAAAAGTCCACTTCTGTTGGAAAACCACATAAGAAATGTGTGTTGTCATAGCTATCCCATTTATGTTCCACACTACCATCATCCACCAATGACCTCATAACATCTTCATTAAATCCTATCATATCATTGTTTGTATTGCAAGCGTTCGCAACCATTTCATAAAATACAGGTCCATATGATTTTTCAGGTTCTGCAGGTATATTTCCATAAGCTCCCATGGAAAGCTGAAGATATTTAAACTTAGGGTTCTCAAAATTAACATAATAGTTGTCTTTCTTTCTAAATAGTGCCCAAATACTTTTAACATTAATAGGCGTATAAGCTGCTGTAAATGTTGCACTTGAACTATCTGTATTCTTTGAGAATGAACCGTCCATAGGAATCCAATCCATAACTTTAACAGGAAAACATAAAGCCTCGTTTGTATAATGTTCTACAAGTTCTGTATAAATGTTAGGGTCTAAAGAGAATGACTTTGGATGAATGAAACATTCATTAAAATCCATCTTTGTTCGAAATAGTTGCTGGGTTACAGTTGTAATAGTAACTGTTCCACTAGCTTCTACTGCCTTCGTTATCATGGTGAATGGTTCATTCCATGGAACAAATTTATTTGTCGGTGGATTTGAATCTGAAGCAAATGCAACTTTAAGAGTTGGATTGAAAGCAATGATATCATTTACAGATATAGATGTGCATTGTAAGGCGTCGCTACTGAACTTTACTTTAAGCTGAATGTTTCCTGCAAAAGCTGGAATAAATCGAATAGCTTCTAATGGAAGGAATCTTCTAACAGGAATTCTTAAACGAAGCTTAAAATCAAATGATTTTCCTGCTGTAATTGGACCACTAACAATTTGTCCTGTTCTGCATGTTCCCGAATGACTCCATACATCTTCATGTCGAGTCTTTGAGAAAACATCTACTTTCTTTATTTGTTCGGTAGTTTGTGAGTTTGAAGTTATATATGCTTCTTCTCTTGCGTTGTCTTGAGAATATACGATACGACCATTTGCAAGGATTTGATATCCAGCAACTGCATAGAAAGCGTCATCGAAACCAATCCAAAATCCTGGTGGGTTTGTTTTATTGGAACCTGAACCAACTTCTTTATCTACAATAAATTGACCTTCCATTTTATACGTAATGAATGTATTATAAAAGTCCAACATATTTTCACCAGGAGGTGAGAGATTGAATGTTACCCATGTGTTATCTTTAGCAGTTCCAGGTTGTGATGGAATCTTTGCGTCAGAATATTTTCTATTAGTGTCACCAATTTGAACTGCATTGTCTATGATATCGAAATATGAGCGAATTGATGAATATGCTCTGCTGGAGTAAATTCGTTTAGCTGTTCGTTCTGCATGTATTTACTTCAGATAAAAATATCTATTTACTTCATTATTCTCACTCTTCTTCTTGGCATTCGTGGTGGAAGTTGTTTCTTGACATTTTCAATGAACTGTACATTCTCTTTTGTCTCAACTTTCTTTCACTGGTGGGTCAGGGTTCTTTGACTCGGTTTGTTTTTCAATGAAATTCACGAACTTTGCAATAAGCTCTTGGTTCGTTATTGAAAGTACATCTGGCTTCTTTTCTTCTTGTTCTATTGACTTTTCAGTTTGAACAGAAGGTTTTTATATGGGCTTCGTGGACTTCACCCTTGCCATACACCTTAATGTTGTCGCTTTCTGCATTCGCTAATGGAAACCTTTCCTTTTTTTACGTATATTTTACCATCTTTACTCTGACTTACGTAATAGAAAGGATGTTGTATTCCTCTTGCGTCATTTAATATAATAGACTCTCGCTCTGATTTTTGACAAGCTCATTTTACATCGGTTAAAGTTTTAATTTTGTTTTTATCTGCAGTCAAATGACTCAGACAAGCCCTACGGACAAGACCCAAGGGGTCATAGATGTTGAAGCATTGAAGAAAGAAATTCGCGAGCAAATTTTATCCGAACTGAAGGAACAAAAACAAGAACAAAAGCCAGAGAGACCAAAGAGAAAACTTAGTGAAAAACAACTTGCTGCATTAGCTGCTGGAAGACAGAAGAACCCACGTTTGCTGGCGAAGAAAGCTAGAGAAGAAGCTGAAGCAAAAGTTAAAGAAGCTGAAGCAAAGAAAGAGTAAATGGTTTATTTTTATCCGAATTAAATGTATAGACAAATACCTTTATCTGTTGCGTTCAGTAGTGAAAACCCTGACGTCAAAATAAAGGGGAACAGAGTAACGTTTAAGTTTCCAACAGACTGGATTGTGAACATAAATGAAGAGAAGTACATTGGCATAACAAATATGTATATAACACGTGCTTTCAGAAAGGTTGACTTTATACTTCAAGTCGAGATAGAAAATGACGAACAGTCTTTAAGCGCCCAAAACATTCACATATACAAATACTTTAAAGACGATACAACATTGCAACAATGTATGATTTCATTTAATGAGATGTTCGAGAAAAAGTTCAACATTGAAGTACAAACTTTACAGCCTTTACGTGAGTTTCTTGCACAACTGAAAGAAGAAGGTAGTCAGCCACAACTTATAGACTTTCATTATGAATTTAATGAAAATGAAGATGGAACTCATGACTGTCAGTTTGTTATATATTCACCATTCAATGAAGTCGCTAAAAAGAAAGAAAATCCATTACGTATAAGATTTCAAATCTCTGAACCAAGTGATGATTTCAAGAATGTTTTCAATTATGATGCAATGCTTCCGAGGAAAAATGAATTTTCAAAGATTGTAACACCCGGCATTTGGGATAGAAAGCAAGCTATATTATATTCAAACTTAAGTAAGGGAGTTGAAAATGAGTTCATTGGTCATACAAGAACTTCACCACTTCCTAACCCTAAATACTATAAATTAACTGGCTTCAATCGTGAGTTTTGGATAGACATGTTCTCCACTCATGACCATAACTGCCCAGTGTTCTTACCTCCAGACCATAAGGACTGTCTCTACATTGAAGCACAACTCTTAAACTCTACCATCGCAGTATTGTAAAATCTACGCTAGCTTTATTTTTATCACGAATGACCTCATTCATGACCTCATTCCTGACCTCATTCATGACCTCATTCCTGACCTCATTCATGATCTCATTCCTGACCTCATTCATGACCTCATTCCTGACCTCATTCATGACCTCATTCCTGACCTCATTCATGACCTCATTGCTGACAAAAATAAATGACCTCATTCATGACCTCATTGCTGACAAAAATAAATGACCTCATTCATGACCTCATTGCTGACAAAAATAAATGACCTCATTGCTGACCTCATTGCTGACAAAAATAAATGACCTCATTGCTGACCTCATTCATGACCTCATTGCTGACAAAAATAAATGACCTCAGAACTTCAACTTACGAATAAAGCTTGTTTTAGTCGTTATTGAGAAGTTAAACTTTTCAGCAAAGCAAGGTTGACATGACTTACATAAGTCAAATCCAATCTCTTGACCATCATGAAGTGCTTTATATAACTTCATAACACTGAACTCAGAGTCTTTGTCATATGTTCCTTGCGGAACCATTAAACCTTTATCTTCATCATAGAAACACTGAACAGAGTCAGGAAACATTTCATTAGCGGTTAAAGCAATAACATCTTGCTTCACGCCTTTCATTCTGCAGTGAAATGCAACTTCATTTAAATCATTCGTGAGTAAGTCTATGTAAGTCTTCTTTCCACAAAATATTGACTTGTATGCTAAACTTTGTTTTCCAGGTGTGATTTCTGCAAAGTCGCTATGAAATTGACCAAGGTTTTTACCAATGAGAACTCTTCCATAACGTTTCTCAAACTCTTCAGCTAAACGAGGGATATCTTCATTGTAGAGATGCATACTGTCCGTATCGCTATAAAAGATGTCCATTCCTAAGTCCTCAGCAGTACAGAATACTTCACACATTATTCTCTTCGACATTGACAGAATGTTAACACCAAGTGGACAGAAGTTAAAGTGTCTGCAAATGCTTTTCGTTAGCTTGAAAATAGTTTTATCTGAACCATCCAAACCTTCGAACTTCACTATATGGTTGTAGTTTCTGATGGCATATCTTATAGCATCTTTGTCATCTACTATGGTTATTTTTGACTCAATAAGAGATAGAATAGTTTTGCCATAAATACTGTTCAGAATGAGCTTTATATTTTCTTGCAAAGGATTTCCTTCTTTCTTATACTTTAACCTTAACTCAAACAACTTCTTTACTTCATCTCTTATTCTAATATCTCTGTTTCCATCGTAATAGTATCCTTGCAACACTTCACATTTGACACCTTGATATTTTATGAGGTCTTGTAATGTTATATGGTCAACATACATTAAACAGCAAGTGTTTGAACTTCTGGGAACGTTAAGTTCTGGATTTAGTTCAGGGTCACAAACTATTAAAGGAAAGTGTCTATGTATTCCAATCTCTGTTATCTTAATGAGAACAAAGAAGCCAGACATAAACTTTTCACCAATGGGTTCCTTTTGGTCGTCATCGAATAAATGTCTCATGAGATACTCTGTGCTTAACATTTCTTTCTTCAATACTTTCGGTATACCTTCTAAAGTATAAAGTCTTGCTATAGCTGATGGATATAATGAAACAGCGTCGAAATCAGCAATGAGTTTCTCTTTACTCTTTTGTTTAATGTTATCTGACAGCATACATCTTCCACCTTGAATACAGCGTGAAATAAATTCTCTTGGTTTATTTGAGAGGTCATATAAATTTCCATTCGGGAAGTACACTCTGTTCTCAAACAATTTGTTAGCAATAGAACAAATACTAACGTAGTCATAAACGTTTAAATCAAATTCTTTCAATATGTCATTGCGGAACTTAACAAAACCTTCTCTTAAAATTCTTACATCTTGTTTGCAATAAAATGTGCTATACTTTTCTAAGTCGAAGTGGTTCTCATCTATTCTGCAACCTTTGATGGAATCTATGTTTTTCATGAATGTATCTGCATCCCGGATAAACTTACATGCTTCAGAAATGACACCAGTTCTGTTGTCATTTGCTAACAAAACACTGCTGTAGTAGTTGTATGGAAATACTTCTTTCGGTCCTGTTTGTAAGTTAAACATAGCAGGAAATAGTTTAAGCTTCTTATTTATAACACTGTAAGAGTCTTTTATAATAATTGCCCTTCCTTTATATAAGCCAGTTATTTGCATTGTTCGTGAACCTTTAATGATGGGAGTTCCTTTCACTTCTGTCATGTGTCTTAAGATGAAGTTTATATCATAACTGAGGTTATGGAAATATATTAAACTCTTGTCAGGAAGTCGTTCCAAAAATTCTGTTGCACAGTTCTGACCCCAAATGCTTTCACTCACTGAACCATCTTCACTGTCGTAACAGATGTTAAAAGCTTTATGAAAGCCGTCTGTGCTACACTCAAAGTCAGCAAAGAAAACGTGCTCAGGAATGAACTTGCACTTATTTTTATTTACTTCTTTTGACTCGGCTTTCTTCTTCAGTTGTGCACAATACTTTGGAGCGTATGTCAAAGTTAGTATACATATCAAGTGTACGGAGGCACTGCGCACCTACTTACCCATTATATGTGAATTTGACACTTTACAAAACCGTTAACGTATATTTTACAACACAAACGACAACACTAACTTAACCTTAAATATTTACAAAGCCACCAACCACTTCACCTCACTAATGTAAAAAATAAACGTTCTCACTTACAAAAGTATTGCAACTCCTCCCATTGCTGTGCTTCACACAATAGTTCATATTCTTCAGTATCGCTGCTGTCACTCCAATCGTCAGAGTCAAAGTCACTGTCAAAATAAATGTTAGTAAGTTTTGACAAAGCTAATGAAACACGTTTACCGTTTGTATCGTATGCTTGTATAAACTTTCCATTCTTCATTCCTTCATAAACGCTCAAACTAACTTTACCCTTTCTCCCTCGTATCTGATAGAATGTATTTTCACGAGGAACGAAGAACAAATTCTTGAACTCATGACCGTTGTAGTTTTGTTATCTCAATAGTTTTCGTCATTTATATAAAAATAAAATAAAAAATAATTTTAAAAAAATAAACTTAAAAATAAATGATATTACTACCTTCACGCGTATGAAAACATAGCACAAAAATAAATTTAGGTGAAGTGGTGAAATCTCACCTCTTTTTTCACCCGGTTTTTCACCCTGTTGAATTCATTGCTTTATAACTCTCTTCCTTGGTTTCTTTTTAGTTGCTTTCTTCACGTCTGTCTCCAACTTGACTGTCTTTCTTCTTCGGCCGTAATGATACCAGTTACTTCCACCAGTCAATGGGTCAAATTGTCTTTCGTAAGGGTTTCCATACATTCCATAGGGACCATACGGAAGAACTACTGGTGGAGAAGAAACATTTTCTTTAGTTCCATCGACTCTATTTAAATGCATTGTTTCACCTTTCATCTGGTCATTAAAGTCTTTTGCGTGTTTTGCAAAACTCATCGTCCTTCCTAAAGCATTTTCTGACTCAGTCGCAACTAAATTGGATGCTTTATTTATGAGCCCTATTTTATTTAATCTTAACTTCTTTGCAACCCAGCCTCCAATCTTCCCTTTATTTGCATCTAATGTCTTCGAAACCCTTCCTCCACTCATTTTATTTACTGCTCATAAGCTCCAAGTGCTTTTGCTCCAAATGCTAATGCTTTTGTTCCCATTGCGCCTAAAGCTGCCCAAGCTACCATTTACACCATATTAAAATCATCTCTCTTCAATATTATCTCATAAAAGTTCTCGTTACTGGAGAAAGTCAATGAACATAAGCGTTCTCACGGGCTTCGCCCTCACCGCTTTGCGGTCTATCTAACTTCTTTCTTATATCATCTATACGCTTCAAAATGTCTGAACAATTGCTAACATCTTCTACAACAGTTATTTCATCATGAATGACCTTCAAGAACAAGCTCATTTAATATGCAATTAAAATCATTTCAATAATGAGTCCATCCTTTCCATCTTTAGGTAGCACAACATCTTTCATTGAAGAAGGTTCGACAAGTCTTATGTTAAACTTACTGACAAAGTTTGTTATACTATAATGCTTCGGCGGCGAATACATATATTGAAAGACATAATATAGATTCTTCAGCAAATTCACTTATACTGGATTTTATAACAATGTTTTCACGAGACCAAATACCACCAATTGAAAAACTTGTAAGCAATCCTGCTGAGCCTTCAACTGTAAACGTCGATGGTAACATTCCACGAAGGTCATCTATTGACATCGTTGAGTCACTGTATTTAAATATTTTCTTAAAGCAATCGTCATTATCTAACCATGCAATAGCTTTGAAGTTTTCATTCGAATATACATCTGCTTCATTAAATGTAAAACCTGACTTCTTTGCAGAGATGACTTTAAAAATCTATTGAGTTTGTTTCAAAATTATATGCTATGGTAACTTCTGAAGGTAATGGATGTCCTTCCGCAGTAAGTTGTTCTCTCACTACCGTTTGAAGCTTTGTAAAAACTTTCATGTCATCTCCTGTATCTAAGTTCACATACACAGCAACAGGAAAACTATCTTGCTTCTTTGTTTCATCATTATACCTCAAAACATTAAAGTTCTTCAATAATATTGTTCTTCCTGCTGGAATACTTCGAACCTGTCTGATTTCAATAGCTTTCTCACCTCCTACATACTCTACCCAGTGTCTTGGATATTCATAAGTATACTGACTTTCTTGAATTTTGGTTGGTTTCATCATAACATGTTCATAGTATATCTTTATACTCTTGTCAGTTAGACTCTGCTATGTTCTGAATATTTCTGACTTGCATTTTTAATGGAGATAAAATGAAGCATTTAATACATGACGTAGATGAAGACATGAATGAAACTACAGACAAGCTCAACAGTTCTCTCATTCTTCCTTTCAGCAAAGATTATGAATTCTGTTCAAATGGTGTGTATTTCTATTGTGGAAAGATGGGTCAGGAAAGACATTTAACCTCATTCGTTATATACTCATAACAGAGCGTTTAGGAAAAACTCTTACTATGACCAAATCATTATTATCAGCAACTTCAGACTCTAGGACTCAACAGCGAAAACATTTATGTCAAAAGTTCAAGCCTCTGTCGTTAAAGTTCCAGACAGTGAACTCATTGAATTTCTTCAACGTTACATTCGACGTAAGAGGAAATATTATGCCATCGTTGAATTTATACAGTCAGGAATGCAAAAGACTTCTGAAGAGATGGAAAGAATTTTGACAAACACCACTTACGTCAATACTCAGGAGTTTACGATATGAAACGACTTACAAACTACATTCTGTCAAAACTTTCAAAATACCCCTTCAAAAATATCCTTCAAACACTCTGCTCGTTTGCGACGACTTCGCCGGAAAAGGTTTAGTTTTCAAAACCAGACTCACCATTAGCTAACATCATTACTAAAGTCAGACATTACCACTTAACTGTAGCAATACTTATGCAAACATGGTGTTTTCTTGCTTTAAACATAAAACGTCTCATAACTGACTTCGTTATCTTTCAAGGTTTCTCACGTTATGATATTGAACTCATTTGGAAACAGTCAGGTATAACATTACCTTTTGAAGAAAATTGGGAAGCATATAAGTCTCTCATCTCTCCTCATTCATACCTTGAGATTCATATCATGACTAATACCATTAAAGTCAAAAATATTCCATGGGAACGACCAACATTGTTTTAAAGTTTTAACCTTCAATTGACTGATGGTAAACAAATTCCATGCATCTCTGTCGCCATTTCTGTTAATATTTTTGCTGTCATTCATATCATCCACTTCCCCATCCGTTAGCTTTTGAGGATATGCGTTAGAATAGCTGTTCTTAAATGAAGGCTTTTCACCTTTGAGAGCATAAACTCTATAACTTTCTGCATACTTTATGTTTGAACCTCCTGAGCCATCATTGACATAAATTTTTATAGGCTTCCACCCTTTGTTTCATGTTCCTGCTTCTTCCCTTAGCTCTTTTGTTCAGTAGTTCTACATCTTTATACACAGCGCACCTGTCTCAGTGAATTCAACAATATTTCATTCGTTAGCTTTACATTCAAACCCTTGTCGAGTATATTGTTCATTTCATACATATAAAAGGGTTTTTATTTCTATATGAAATGAGAAGCAAAATCCATCTTAGCTGGTGCCGTTAATGTTCCAATTGAACCAACATCAAATGTTGACTCACGAACGACAAACAATATTGTCATAAAGAACTATAGTTCAGAGTGTTTGAAAGAACCAGAACCAGAGCTGAAATCCGTGAATTTAAACACAGCTTCAAACGCTAACGCTACATCAGATGTTAAGTTAGAGTATCCACCACTGGACCAAATTCTTTCAAGAGAAGCCAACGACAATCCTTACACAAATGTTTCAAACAAATCCTTCAGATAACGTAGACCATTACCTTCTTCAGTTATACCAAACTATCTTACTCAAAGACGATAAGAAGCTTTTGACAAATCTTATAAGTAAGAACCAAATAATTCTAACAAAGGAGGACCTTGAAAATGTTATCTCACGAATAACAGGGAAACAATGTGTCATTGACTATCTCGACCCGAAATCGAATGCGTGTGGTCAAACGCCACTATTCATGAAAATAGGTAACATCCGCATCATTGAAACACCAGGAACTACAGGAGTTGAGTTTAAGTATAAATATTCGAATGAATATACAAACTTTCAAACAGAATATAAACTTTGTTTGAAATATGTTTTAGTAAATTAAAGCAGTCAGGAGGGCTCTTTGAGCCCATCTCTGGCGCTTTGCGCCGTCAGTCAAAAAAATTTCAAAGTTAGCAATTTGTAATATCTATCCAAAACTTCTTCAACAGTATCGAACTCATCCTCATAATGCAAACCTAATCTTATTGACTTGGTGCAGTTTTCACTAACACAATATTTTTCTGTTCTCTTGACTGACATAACTAATTCATTTGTTTCATCAAACAGCAACAACCAAAGTGCATGACCTAATACATAACATTCATACTTTTATATTTTAGCTCTGAGTTCTCTTGTAAGCTGTTGCATTTAATATTTTCTAAAAAGTCAACTTCAA